AAGTACTGTTACAAACCATTGTTATAATACTAGCTTTTATAATTGCCCACATATTTACCTTTATTGAAATCTTTTTCTCCATATGGCTTCAAGTTACTGTCTAGTGTCTTTTTGTTTCACCTTGCAGGACTCCCTTGAGCATTTCTTGCAGGGCAGGTCTAGTGGTCACAAATTCCCTCAGCTTTGTTATCTGGGAATGTCTTACTATCTCCCTCACTATTGAAGGACGTTTTGCTGGATATAGGATTCTTGATTGACAGGCTTTTTCTTTTAGCACTTTGAATATATTGGCCCACTGTCTTTTGGCCTCAAAAGTTTCTGATGAGGGCCGGCCCTGTGGCTTGGTGGTTAAGTGCGCGTGCTGCGATGCTGGTGGCCCGGGTTCGGATCCCGGGTATGCATCGAGGCACCACTTCTCCGTTCATCCTGAGGCCGAGTCCCGCATACAGCAACTAGAAGGATGTGCAGCTACGACATACAACTATCCACTGGGGCTTTGGGGGGAAAAAATAAAATAAATAAAATCTTTAAAAAAAAAAAAAAAGTTTCTGGTGAGAAATCTGTTTATTATCTTATTGAAGATCCTTTGTATGTGATGATTCACTTCTCTCTGCTGCTTTCAGGACTCTTTGTCTTTGTCTTTTGAAACTTTGACTATAATGTGTCTCAGTGGGTCTCTGAGTTTACCTTACTGGGAGTTTATTGAGCTTCTTGGATTTTATATTCATGTCTTTCATCAAACTTGAGTTTTCAGCCATTATTTCTTCAAATATTCTCTGTGCCCCTTTCTCTCTCCTGGAATTCTCACGGTGTGTATGTTGGTCCGTTTGATGGTGTCCCACAGGTCCTTCAGGCTCTGTTCATTTTTCCTCAATCTTTGCTTCTTTCTATTCCTCAGACTCAATTTCCATTTGCCGATTCTTTCTTCTGCCTGCTCAAATCTTCTTTTGAATCCATCTAGTGAATTTTTTGTTTTAGTTATTGTACTTTTCAGCTCCAGAATTTTTTTGTTTTTTGTTTTTTTTAGGTCTCTCTTTATTGATATTTCCATTTTGTTCACAGTGTTTTCTTGACTTTCTCCACATCTTCCTTTTTAGTTCTTTGAGCAGCTTTAAAACAGTTGTCTAGTATATCTGCCATTGTGTCTTTCAGGGACATCTTCTGTTGATTTATTTTTTCCTTTGAATGGGCCTTACTCTCCTGTTTTTGTATGCCTTGTGATTTTTTGTTGAACACTGGACATTTGAATCTAATATTGTGGTAATTCTGGAAATTAGATTTTTACCCTTCCCCAGGGTTTACTGTTTTTTTAAATTACTGTTTCTATTTTTTAGATTGTTGTAGTGTGCCAAGGATCAGCCTGAAGTACAAACTTAAGATCTTCTCAGGTCTTTCCCTGGGCATGCATAGCCACTTTTGAACTTTCTCCATATATGCAGTTGTTTTTGAATGTTCTAGTCTTTAATGTCTGGCTCCCCAGCCCAAAGAGGAAAAAGCAAAACTGAAGTGGGGCGGGGGAGGGAACATGGTGCCAGCTGTTTAAATCCCCTGGTAGTCACTTCAGCCTTAGGGGGAAGGGCTTGCAACAATAGGGGGGAGGTGCAACAACAGTGTCTGCTCACCTCTTTATCTGCGCCTCTGTGATCAGAAAGATCCCTGATATTTGGAGAACAAGGTCCTTTTTGCCCCCCACCCCACCCCCAGCCCCCGGTTCCTGGAAGCTGGTGCAAGCTGCTCCAAGAACCTGGCAAGGGGTGGGGATTGGGTAGTTGCTACTGTGCTGAGCTGAAATTGACCAAAATTAACTGCAATTTACAGTCCAACTTTTCCTCTGGAAGTTGCCTTTACAGACTCCCGAGTTCCAAAGTTACATCAGACTGATTCTGCCAGTTATCTGGGTGGGGAGACATTCCTGGTGCTTCCTACTCTGCCATCTTCCCCGAATCCCCCTAGACTGCATTTTAAGTCTAGTCCTCGTCACTTGAAATGCCACCCAAATCAGTACTAAATTTCTACATGAATTTGAACCTATTTCTGTTCTAGGATCTTTATTTTCATGCATCTAGGGCAATCTTTAATTGCTACATAGACAGATATTACATTTTCCTAACTAACTGGTAAGGGGAAGTTACCCTCATTGCTGCATCAGAATTTTCCTGGGTTTTTTTGCATGTTTTTTTCCAACATGAAGTTTAAAATTAGCTTGTCTGGTTCTTGGGGAAAAATTGTTACTTTCATTGAGATTGAGTTAAAGAAATAATAGATTAAGTACAGACTATGATACAGAGACTTTAATCCAAAAACATGAGTTTATGCCTTCCCATTTGTTCAAATGGTCTTTTGTCTCAGTGAGTTTTCAAATTTTTACCATTTAGGTCCTGCAGATTTTAAAAGGTTCACCTCCCGGATCTTTGTAAGATCTTTTCTTTTTTTGTGTGTGAGGAAGATTAGCCCTGAGCTAACATCCGATGCCAATCCTCCTCTTTCTTGCTGAGGAAGATTGGCCCTGAGCTAACATCCGTGCCCATCTTCCTCCACTTTATATGGGATGCCACCACAGCATGGCATGACAAGCAGTGCGTTGGTGCGTGCCCAGGATCCCAACCCGCAAACCCCAGCCCACCGAAGCGGAGTGCACGCACTTAACCACTTGCGCCACTGGGCTGGCCGGTATAAGATCTTTTCTTTTATTATATTTCTAACCAGTTGCATATACACAAGCTGTTGATTCCAGCTATCTTGTTAAATTCTCATTGAGAATACCTTTTAGTTGATTCTGTTGATATAGCTGAAAAAACATTAATTTTGACTCCTTTATACCTTTTTTCTTTTCTCAACTGCTCTAACGAGTATACTCAGAATACTAAATAATTATGGTGAGTAAACATGTCTTTCTCAATCCTAAGGAATATGTCCAATGTTTGATTTAGCATGTTAGCTTTTCATTATTTAATGTTAATGAAGAATACATCTCCTATTTTAAGAACTTATTTCTGGAATGAATTGTAAGTCTTGATCCCTGAGGTGATGATTTTTCAATTTGGCACGTTCAGTCGGAGATATATTAGTGGAGGCCCTGATAGCAGCACCCTTGCATTTGTTATGGTGGTTATTCCTAGTATCATCACCCTTGCATAGACACATTATGGAAAAGTTATTTCACTAACATGCCACTGGAATCCACTACTTAGGATTCTTATTCATATCACACTATTTTTGTCAGGTTTTTTAAATCAAGGCTTCCTAAGAATTTGGAGGCTCATTACATGCTGAAGTTTAACCCTGTGTTTATGTCATAAAGATTTGATGTAATTGGTCTGTTGCAATTTCTTCTTTCCAACCAGTTTTTTTTTTTTTTTTTTGGTGATGAAGATTGGCCCTGGGCTAACATCTGTGGCCAGTCTTCCTTTTTGCTGAGGAAGATTGGCCCTGAGCTAACATCCATGCCCATCCTCCTCTATTTTGTATGTGCGACACCTGCCACAGCATGGCTTTATGAGCAGTGCAGCGTCCGAACCTGTGAACTCCAGGCCACCAAAGCAAAGCGCATGAACTTCACCACCATGCCACCAGGCCAGCCTCCCAACCAGTTTTAATAATTCATATTTTCCCTATAAATCATCTAATTCCTCTAATCTTTCCCATGTCACTGTCTATTCAGCCGTGTGCCATTTTCCTTCAATGGTTAATTGCTGGTATATCTTACTTTAATTTCTACCTCATTAATTTTCGTTTTTAACATTTCCTCCTATGTTCCTTATTTTCCTAGCTATTTGAATTCAATGTTTAACTTCTCTCTGTTTATCAATGTAAGAGTTTAAGGCTGTGACTCCCCACTGAGCCCCTCCGTTCTGCTCTGTGGTTGTGTTCAGTCTCTGCTGTCCCACCACGAGGGATCTCCCCTTTGTACTGCAGCTATACAATAGCTGGACATACTCCAGATCAATTTTGCAAACTTCTTACTCTTTTCAGGCTCATGTATGTTAACAATTAGAATCAAGAACATAATATACAATCAACCTGTTAAACTACATTATCAAATTTTAGATGTTCTTCTGTTTTTTTTTGGGGGGGGAGGGGAGTGTCACACATAGACCATCATCTAAACCTTCAGATAGCAGCTCTATTGCCCAAAATACATCATGGCAAAAGCCTTATCAAAATTTCATCTCTCACCCAACCCAGCTTACTCATTTTTTCCATAATCCTCTAGGGCTGCACTGTCCAATAAGGTCACCACTAGCCACATGTGGCAACTGAGCACTCAAATTGTGGTTAGTTCAAACTGCGAGTGTTGTACGTATAAGATACCAGATCTTGAAAACTTAGTACAAAAAAAAGAATATAAAATATTTTTTATTACCTGTTGATGTTTTAGCTATATTGAGCTAAATAAATATTAAAATTAACCAGTTTCTTTTACTATCTTAATGTGTCTACTAGAAAATTTTAAAATTACACATGTAACCGGCACAGTTCTCCCTTCCCTCTGACATACATACAAGGTTTGAGAGCACAGACATTGCCTTCTTGTAACCATCTGAAGACAGCAGCACCATGATGCCAGGTTAGTCTTAGCATTTATTTTAAAAATACATAAAATATAAATTTTTTTACATCAAAGTGTGATAACCTCACTTACATTTTTCCATACTTACCTGGTTTTGTTTGCAGCCTTATGCAAACATTAATAGATGGACTTATTTCGACTCTGATTTTTTGCTATGGTTTCACGTAAACGGTTGAGACTGCTACATAAAGTAGGTTGTTTTAAAAGGTAAAATGGCCACAGAAACCCAACGGTAAAACAATTCAGTTTGGTTTAATGAAATTGGCAAAAGTCTTAGCATATAGATAATTGAAGACTAAATATTGGCTTCTAGGCATTTTGAATATTAAAAACCTTGAAGTTTTCTTCATCTTGTAAACATAACTTAGACCTTGTTGGCATTAAGTTTGAAAAGTAAAATATTAAACCATGATTTTCATCATCCTGCCCGTGTCAGTATACACTCTCTTTATTATGAGAATGAAACCAAATAATAAGCAAAATACATGAGGAATTTCAAATCGTACTGAAAGAAGGTCCCAGCTGGTCTCTTCTGAGAGCGATTTAACTTAAGCTGACCCTGCCACTGGCTGAGTATGATCCCCTCTGTCCACTGGACAGTGCAACGCCCCAGGCCACGAGATGGTCAGTTCCTCTTGCTCCACGTCTTCTGAAGCAATCGAGAATCTACTTCCACCTCTGCTGGCTCTGCCTTCTTTCCTTGGGCTTGGATCTGTTGGGTTAGTGGTTTGCAACTATTGTCAAGACTGCACCGTCCCTTTAAGATACCACATGCCACCATAGCTTACACAGCAGTCCTACGAATAGAGAGAGAAACATGTTAACAGCAGACCTGAGCAGGAAAAGGTAGTTACTACATTCTGTGCAGAATATCAAAAACGATGTATGATTAATGGATAGAAGAACACAACTGGCAAATTAAGATCTGCCTGACCACAATGCTGTGGTAACTGCCTGGTCTCAGTGTTAGGGCCTCAGGCCACCCTTCTTTTCCTCAGAGGTATCTTAAGAGTGAGGAACTACAAATAGATGTGCTTTATAAATGTAAAATACAAAAACCGTTAATAAGCTGACCAGAACAAAAAATGCTTCATAAATAGTATCTACCTATGGCCTTGGATGTTGAAGATAATAGATCAGAATAGAAGGAAACTGTCATTGGCTTTCTGTGTTCCAGTGTTTCTGCAAATATGGTATTTGTGTAACAGTCAACTCATAAAAGCATTATTGATGGTACACTTAAGTATTTTCATATATTATGCGATAAATGATATATTCCTTTTTAAACTAAATTTAATTACAAAATTGATTCTACTGAAAGCAAATAGTACAAGAGTTAGTCTGTGGCTGTGGCAATAACCACGGAAGTGGCACAAGATGCAAAGGGGGAGTGGAGTCAAGATTCTAATCGAGGCCCTGCCATTTTAAAGGATGATGACCCACTAGACTATATTTTTTGGAAGTGGAGCCTGCATCTTACTCACTTTAGTCGTTTTGCACATACCCACCACACCAATGCCAATCATTATCAGTTGCTGAAGACCCAACTGGCTGGGGAGGGGTCCAGAGAAAGTCTGATTTAAACACAGTGGTAGGAAAGGCACCAGACTACAGCCCTTTCCACACACCATCAGCCTCCATCTGAGACAGGAAGAGCCAGTCACGGGCACCCTCGTGCTGAAGTTCATGGTCAGAGCAGAAGCCCAGAGCCTCTGGCTATTATTATACACAAAATGGATGTACCTTTAGCACTTTATCCACCTCCTGTTTACTTAGATCTTCTCCACACTCTTGAGTCAACCGAGACTGGATCATGTTCCGGCGTACCCGGTAATTTTTGGAAAAAATTTCAAGCAAAACCTGTCGATGCTTTAGTAGCAAAAACATGTTATTATGGGAAACAATCACCTGAAAGAGAAACATCCCCAAACAAGAAATCCAAAGCTATGGACCCAGCTCCACACTGCAGTCTATGATAAAAGTCCTTGCCCAAGACTTCTGACCAATTTGTCATCTCTCGAGACCCTAATAAAATGAAGTATAGAAATAAAGGTGTATGCCCACAAAAACAAAAGAGCCAGTGAAGCATCAGCAGAGGATGAGCAGTTTACACATACTTTTGCGTGATAACTGATTTAGCAGGCAGGGAAAGCCACAATCTGAACTGCATGAAGAAAGAAGTGAGTGGCTTAAACGTAAAACAGGATGCCATGAAAAGCATTACATCCCAAAATAAAAATTAAATAGAAGATAGTTAAAATCCCCCCAAAAGGAGAAAAGGTGTTCAAAGAGAGAGAAAAGATTTGATCCAGTATGTCTAACATACAACATAAGAATCCCGAAAGAACAGAAAAAAACAGGTAAAGGAATTATCAAATCTATCACAGCATTTCAATAATGACCCAAATGTCTAGTAATAATGACCCACACCAGGGTACATGTGGAATTGCACTGTCATACAATATACAGAATAAGGAAAAAACCTTAAGTTTGGGATAAAGGGAAGGATATAGGTCAAATTTAAAAGACCGAGAAGCAGAATGTCATTGAACAGCAACTCTGAAAGCTTGACTACAATGGAAAAATATCTTAAGGGCCGGCCCCATGGCCAAGTGGTTAAAGTTCCGCACACTCCGCTTCGGCGGTCCAGGTTCACGGGTTCGGATCCCGGGCGCGGACCTACTCCACTCATCAGCTGTGCTGTGGCGGTGTCCCACATACAAAATAGAGGAAGACTGGCACAGATGTTAGTTCAGGGCTAATCTTCCTCAAGCAGAAAACAAAAAGAGGAAGATGGCCAATGGATGTTAGCTCAGGGTGCATCTTCACCAAAAAAAAGAAAAATATCTTAAATTCAGAAGGAAAATGATTTGCCCTCTACAATTCTAGCCCCAAACAATAATACTTGACCAAAAAAAGTCATTTTAAGACAAAGAATGCAGACAACTCCTCTGCCCCCTTAGAAGCTAAAATTAAGTGAGGAAGAAGACACAAAATCCTGCAAGCCAGCAATAGACACAGAGAGCCAGCCCCACTGGAGAGGATTCCAGGGAATCAGACTCCAGCATGGCATTACTGTTGGTATATATGTGTTCAGAAAATCATGCAAGTGGAAATAGGAAGTAATATAAAAAAAGAAATGTGATCATAGTATACTACTGATACTTGGCTCTACAATGAAGACATTTCCAGTCATGATGCTATAAGCACTGATACCCGATTTAACTAAAGAACTCATAATATACCCCACACCTGTCTACATTCTCCCAACATAGCTGAGAACTAAATCCTCATCCACTGCAACAAGAAGCCCATTGATAATATCAAGTCGATACATCAAAGAGCAGTATAAGCACATTTTGTATATATATATATACATTAAAAAAAAAAATGGAGGTAACTCTTGTGGCGGCATCTTGTAGTTAAAAAGTGATTGCCTCTGAGGAGTGGGAATCAGGTCAGGCAGGGCTGGAGATGGTTTCTCATAAAGCTTTCAGTCTTATTTATTTTTAACAATACGCACTTACTGCTTTTTTAAAAATTATCAGAGTACTTCAGGAGTGGGAAACCCAGATGCCACCTATTCTGGCCACAGGCACACAGGCTTGCTCAAGGAGGCCTGTTCCAGACTGTTCTCGGTCTACAGCACCAAAAGGCCCCACCCCTTTTGTATTCTCAGCCTGCCAGTCAGTCCCCTTCTAAGAGGCAGAAGGGGACAAAGAACTCAGTGGGGGCTTTTGCTCACTTCCTCTCTCCCCCCAACCTTAGGAATAGAACCTGGAAAAGGACAGACCTTTGGAGTTTTTAGCAATTAAATCTTAACCTTTAAAGTTCAGGCAAGTTCATGATTTAACAAAAACTTCTGGACCTCAGGGTCCATGACTCTGCAATACAAACACAGCACTGCTGGTTTAATTCACAGTCTGTTCACTGGACACTTTTGACCCTTCCTGCCAGGGTGCGAGTAGAGACAAAACGACCAATTTCTCTAACCTAAAAAAATCCAGCACCGGGGCCAGCCCAGTGGTGTAAGCGGTTAAGTGTGCGTGCTTGCTGCAGCGGCCCAGGGTTCGCCGGTTTGGATCCCGGACACACACGGACGCACAGCTTGTCAAGCCATGCTGTGGCAGCGTCCCATATAAAGTAGAGGAAGATGGGCATGGATGTTAGCCCAGGGCCAGTCTTCCTCATCAAAAAAAGAGGAGGATTGGTAGATGTTAGCTCAGGGCCGATCTTCCTCACACAAAAAAAAAAAAAAGAAAAGAAAAAACCCAGCACCCACAATCTGATAAGGAATCCTTTTGATACCTACTGCCATCGGCCACCTGAAATGTGGTCCATCACTGGTTTGCAAGCCTGGCTGTGCATTAGAATAATCTAGAAAGCTTTGCAGAAACTTAAATACCTAGGACACTATCCCATTCCTACTGAACTGAACTGAATCTCTGGGGCAGTCCTGGCAATCTATATATTTTTTAAAAGGTGATTCTGATGCAGTCGGTCCAGACTGGCATTTCAGAACCACTGGTTTTGGCTCAAACTCTTGGTACATCCAGTCTGTTTTGACAGTATGCAGAGACAGAGCCAGAATATTTAAAATCAGGAGTGGCTGGAAAATTTGAAATGTATATGATTGCACTCAAGGTCTCCACAAAGGCCTCACCCCCTCCAGGAACACATCCCTGCTCTTGGGGAAGATGGCAGCAAAGGTCACCTCACCTGATCACTTATGTCTCCAGACTCCCAGAGGGCGAATACCTTCTGCTCATCCGGGGAAGCAGCAGTCTGTGGGGGAAACTAATCAAGGCCCAGGTATGAGTTGGCCATTTGTCTTTACCACGTGGATCCACCTGCCCCACTCCCTCACCCCTCCAGAGTCTGCACCAGCCCAATTCTGGGAATGTGGGTTCCAATCCCAGCTCCTGCCACTCACTAGCTGTGGGGCTGTGGGCAGCCACAAACCTGCATCTGTTTCCTCATCCTCACCAAGGGGAGGAGGCCAGCCACATCCCACCAGGGCCTTAGAGGGCTTCAGTGAGAGAAGGAATGTGACACACACAGCCTAAAGCCCGCAGATGTGCTCGAGAAGGTAGGGAAGCGGGTTCTTCAGTTTTTCCCATTAGCCTGGCATTAGCTCACCTCTCTGCTTTAATATCCAGCGTCCTCCTGCCCTAAATATCAACCCTCAGATGTGTCCTGAGAGGCGCTCCCAGCCCTATAACTCCTTAGGGGTGTCCTGGGGATTCCTTTCAATCCCTTAAGCCACAATGGCCATGGCAGTATGGGTTAGGGGCCCTGCCTGACTCCCACACAACCCATGCCACTTGGAGCGGCAGGGTCCGAAGGTGGACCAAGAAAACAGTGGCCCAGGCTCTGGGTACCTGGAGAAGGGGAATGGAGGAAGGAGGGTGGTAGACAGGGTTCCAGTCTCGGTGCCATAACACAAGTAACAGTAATGATTGCCACCATGTAGAGCCCCAGGCGGTGCTTTAAATATACAATCTCCTTTGATCATTAGAAACCAGAGAGGTAGCAAGGTGTTACTGCCCCTACTCTCCATGTGGAAAGTCTAGTTCAGAGAAGTTAACTTACTGTCCATGGTCACACAGCTATTATGTAGCAGAACCAGGAGTTAAACTCAAGTCTTTGTGAGTCTACTCACTCTCCCTGGGCCTCAGCTCCCTCATTTAGAAAAACAAGCCTGGATAGATCTGAGGTCTCTTCTACCTCGGACACAACTATGACATTTTAGTCACGACCACAGGGAGGGAAGTTGACAAGAGAGCTGCAGAGAGGACCATGGTCTCCCATCGACGTCAGCTCTACCAAGAGGAAGAAGCATGACAAGAACAGGTCCTGAGGGTGGGGGAGGGGTGTCTGAGGGTAGAACACTTCATGTCCCTTGCTTTCTGTCCACTCCCAAGACAGCCTAGCTAACAACAGGCAGGTACCCCTCCCTTGCCTGGCCCAGCTCAGAGAAAGGCGAGCCTTCAGAAAACAGGACCCGTCTGCTGGGTGGGCAAGGGTGGCTCCAAACAGGGCAGGGCCCCTAAACCCCAGTAACTTCTGTAGGAGACCTCACCAACGAGGGCCCTCCCACGAGGGCCAGATCCCCTGGGACAGCCCAGACAGCCTGGGAGCCAGGGCCTCTTGTCCTAGTTTCTGTTCCTCACGTACACAGGGATGGGCCTCTGGCTCAGACCACCCAACGCTGCAGGTGCTTCTGAGCCTGGACTGCAAATGTCAACACGCCCTTGTTGAGAGGCAGCCATAGCCCAGCTCCCCTCACCTGCTGCCAGGTCTAGGCAGAGCCTGGGAGGAGAGAACAAGCAGCACAGCTTCCCTGGGGCACAGCCCGGCAGCCTTCACCCTCAGCTCAACGAGATGGTCTCCAACACACTCTGCTCTACGTGTCCTCCACTCTGGGACCCCTGCCAGTGACAGAACTGGGGTCTGTGTGGCCCACCCTTGCACCCACAGGCCTGGCACCCGAAGCTAACTGAAAGACCACCGAGCCCATGCTGGTCAGCTAGCCTCTATGGACAAGGAGGCCCACCAGGACCCAGGCACAAGCTGGGGGCTCAGGTGAAAGGGTCAGCTCATCTCAGTTGAAGCAGAAAGGATTTAAGACTGGGAGCCACCAGACTGAGGTTCGAGTTCCAGCTCTCTCACTTCCTGGGTATATGACCTTTAAACAAGTTCATTTCACTTCTGTGAAACTCAGTTTCTTCACGTGCGGGTTGCAAAGAAGATCAAATGATACTTGAAGTGAAATCATCCTGAAAACTGGCAAAGCTGACAGGAATGAGTGAGGTGTCGGCAGGGGCGGGGGGCTAGAAATGAGGATGGCGAACAACCCACATGTACTGAGGCCCTGGTGGGTGCCAAGCAATAGGTTAGGGCCGTCAGACGTCTCATTCAGCCCTTACCAAAGTCCTACGATACAAACGAACATTCCCTCATTTCCCATGAGGGCGCAGAGCCCAAGAAGCTGACTGGCCCAAGGTCACACACACAGCCACCACATGACAGCCAAGGTCCGTGGTCCTCCCAAGTCCCCACGCCCCATGCAGCCTCCAAACAGCTGGTCCCCACAAAGCCACAGGGCTCAGGCCACCCCAGAGTGACCAGACCTCTTTCCATAGCTCCTTTCTGCCAGGAAAGATGCTGCCTGCCCAAGAGCCCTCCCGAGGGGCTGAGGGCGGCCTCGTTTGTCTGCCTGTCCGGCAGGCGCAGACCTACTTACAGGCACCAGTATCTGCTTGCAACCGGCGGCCAGCACCGTGTCCTGCAGCATGCGGTCTGAGATGCCACTGAACAGCATGTGGCCAGGGGGCAGGCTGGCCAAGTGCAGGTTGAAGAGACGCTTGAGTTCACTCAGTGTGAGCACAAACTGTCTCTGAAAGGTGGCCTCCACGAAGGCCCTCAGTTCCTGGGCCACAGGGGTGTTGGCACAGCCTGGGGGCGGATGCCCATTGAAGCTGTCCCCGCCTGCTGCCCGCCCAGCAGGCAGCCCGTTGGCAAGCCTATTGTGGAGGCCACGACTGGGTGAGGTGTCCATGGGCTCCTCGTCTTCCCCCACTTCCCGCTCTTCCTCTTCCTCTCCCTCCTCGCTCATGGGCTCCTCCTTGATCCGAATACCAGGCAGGACTGAGGACGCCCGGATCTGCTCCTTCCTCCGCTGCAGCTCCCGTTCCAGCAGTGCATGGTTCTGCTGTGCCTTGCTCTTGGCTACTTGGACCCGCTGGTCCCCAGAGACCAGCCCAGCAGGCCCTGTGGGGAGACACAGGGTTGCTCAGGAGACTATAGAGACCGTGCAGAGAAGGACCTGAGACGAAGGCCCACAGCCCCTCTGCCCCACGGACAATCCCTTTCATCCCGACAGGGGACATCCTGCTGTCCAGAGCAAGGGCACAGGAAAAATGCAGGCCAGCTGGGGCTGAAACAAATGGCCCAGCCCTGCCTTTTACCCCACCTTACCTAGGAGGGATTTCGCTACCCCAACAATGAGGGAAGACACAGAACTGGGAAAATCAGGTTTCCACGTTCAGAGATCCTGGCCAGGCTGGTTACTGCTGATTCCTGCCAGCAGCTCCTCCTGTCCTACCACCTTCTGCCAACCCAAGAGGGCGAGAAGGTCTCAGGGGCCTGGAACCCAGACAGAGCCCCGGAGTACAGAAGCCTTCAACCCTCGAGGCTGAGGTTTTGCCACTAGGCAAGCCTTCAGCTGAGGTCTGTGGGATGGGAGGAGGGCACAGAAACGCAGCCAGCAGTGAGAGCCACGCACCCCTCTCCAGGCCCAAGCCCAACAAGCTCCAGCAAAGCAGCCCTCCCAGAGCCAGGGTTGGAGTTAGGGCCCGGCCCCGCCCCGCCCCGCCCGACGCCCCTCACACACCTGATTGTCCATCTGGCTTCTTTGGCATAGTTTCCTTCACAAGATTATAAACTTTTTCTAATCTGAAAAGAAGAGTAAACCCTTTTAACGTTAAACCATGTCCCCCATCATCTGCCTCACAATAGAAACAGCTCCCTTAAGCCCCAGGATGTCCTGGTCACTGAAGACGCTGCATACTTGGAGCTCTGCGGTCTTTCCCCACAGCGCACAGGCTCCGTGCCCAGCCGGAGCCCCCATGCCGGGGTGATGGGTGGCAGCCCACCCCTCCCTTCCTTAGCCAGTCTCCGTCCAGCCTGCCTTGAGCCACACAAGCCCAGGCTCTTGCTCCTGAGTGCTCTTCCTCTCTCCTTCACATCCAGCCCTCCTCCCCGACCCCTCAGAACAGACACGCTGAGATTTCACCTCACGGGTCAGCTCTGTTGAGTGAGGAGTGGTTGGAGACATACAGGCCTGTGCTGTGGGGACTCTGGGATCAATCAGCAATGTCCACCTGAGTGAAGGAGGGGGTGCATGCGGCCCCAAATGTGGCCTCACTGCCCCAGATGCAGCCTGGCTGTGCTTCCCCTGGGAGGGAGGGTGGCTGGGGACGGCCTGGTACTCTTCTGGCTAGCTGTCCCTCATCCCACCAAGCAAGCTCTTACTTGGCCTGGATGCCCGTCCACAGCATGTGCTGCCGCTGGACCACATCTGGATGCTTCTTGATGAACTCCCCGTCATAAGGCAGTATGAACTCCCAGCCTTTGTTGATCTTCACTACGGCCATGTGCTCCAGAAAGTCCTTCACATCCTCTGCACTGAGCTGGGAGGAGTGAGGCAAAGGTGAGGCATGGACAGCCTGAAAGCCTCACCAGCCCCACAGGCAGCCCCCGATCCTTCCAGTAGCAGACCTGAGCCTCAGATCAAGAAGAACATCACTTACTTTAGTCACCGTTGCCACCTCTTTCCTTACCACCCACCGGCTCTGCGTGAACTTCCACATCTGAGGGAGAAAAAGAAGCATGTTTCCAGAAGGCAGAGATGGATGCTCCTAAAACTGTCCCCAAAACCTGTGCAGTTGCCCTTGGATGAGGGTACAGAGTGGCAGCTCAGAGCCTGAGCGTCTGGCACACCTGGGTTTGGATCCTGGCCTTGACTCTTACTAGCTGTGTGGCCATGGGCAGTCACTTCAACTCCAAGCTTCTGTGCTCTCCTTTGTAAAGGACTTCCAGGTTATCTCCTCCAAGACGGCAGTGGGACCCACCTCACCCCCACCTAGACCACAAAACCTCCCTGGGGGCAGGATACTTTGTCCATCTGTCACCTACAACAATTCAGATTTGACTAGACTCTCTCCCAGGTCCCCCGATTCAACAGTGCCTACACAAACAGAGAAGGGCTGATAAGCAGGTAAAGGTGCAAGGCATACGTGCGTGGCTCAGCGAGCCTGGAAGCGGGTAACCACTGCACTCTGATCCCCAGAGACAAAAACAGACTGCACAGGCACCTAGATAGTAAGTGCCCAAAGGAGCTGGGACATCCAATCGGGAACAAAGAAAATGCAGACGCTCTTCAAACAGCAAAGGGCTACCCTGCGTGACCAGGCCTGTGCATGAGCACACCAAGGTCCCCGTGGACAGCTCCAAGGAGACTGATTCCAGCAAACTTAAAGCACACTGCCGAGGTCAAGGAGGCAGTGCAGGTCCCAGCAGCTCAGGATTCAAACCTTTGGAAGGGATGATCTGGCTAGGACTTCAGTTCTGGATAAGGGCAGGGGCAGGGTGGGGTGATGGGATGGAGGGATGAGCTAGCTCAGGAGTTGCAAAACCCCACAGCAACAATGCAGGGAACATGCATGAGGGCAGCAGACGTGCCTGGCACTGTGGTGAACTGGGGACCATCAGTCCCATCCAAAACAGGTGCTGTTCGGGGATGTGGGCCCAGCGGCACCAGACAGTCCAATTATTTGTGACAAACTAGAAATTTGGTTTGCAACATGTTTTGATTTTTAAAAATCAACAATCAAGTCAACATCTTAAAAAGACCACCCAGGCCAAATGAAACATGCTCCTTGTCCAGAAGTCACCTTTGGCCCTCCAGTTTGCAACCCCCAGGCTAGAGGAGCTCAAAGGTTCTTACGAAGCCTGAGACGCCAGGATTCTAAGAGGAAGGACGAGAAAGGCAGAGTCCAGATGCCTCTCTCCGCCACACACACCTGCCCCTACCTGGGCCAAGGTCCTGGGAGCTCTGTGCTGCCCTGGTGTCCACCCACCGCACACCCCGCCCCACGAGGCCAGAGTCTGGGCACTTACGACAAAGTCTCGGCCCCTGCAGAGCACCTCGGCAGGCACGCCACTGTGAGGGCTGGAGGAGTCCTTGGGGTACAGAATGTCACTGCCAATGAGAGTGGGGATGGCAGGTGAGTCCCTGTCCTCAGCCCCCTCCGCCTCCCGTCCCCCCAAGGATCTGAGCGGAAGCCCAGGCCTTGCACTCTGAACACCTGCCCAGCCCATGCCTCTTTCCAACGTGGGCCACTACAGGCCTGGGCCCCCACAGCTCCCCCCAGGAGCTTGGCTCTGTGAACCTGTGTGTAGGAAAGAAGCACCCCCCACACACCTCCCCCCAAGAGTTCTTCCTCTTCCTCCTTCTTGACCCCTACTCACACTCTGGCCCAGCCCCGAGGCCCACTGCATGGTCAGGGAGGGGCCAGGGGCTCAGAGAGAGACAAGGCGAGCCCAGGACTCTTTGGAGGACAGTGAGTCCCACGTGTAAAGCAGGTGTGATGCCAAGAGAGACTGGCGATGAAGCAATACACAGGCCTTCACCACCTGCCGAATGGGAAGAGGTGGGCAGTGTGAGCTGAGGGAGCCGAGGCAAGAGGGGTCGGGAGCAGGGATCTGGACAAGCCCTGAGCACGGGGGAGCTGAAAGAAGCCTTTGGAGAGAACAGAGCAGCACTCAAGGCTCAGAGAACTTCAGGGCCCGGGGCAAACGAGCAGGGTGCTGAGCTTGACCAGAGTCTCCACAGCAGAACCCTGACCCCAAGTCCAACCCCAGACCTTGTAGCCCGGGAGCACTCACACCACCCCCGGCCACCCCATGCCTATAGTGCCCTTGCTCTTCCTGCTCTGGCAACCAATCCTACCTGGCAACCAACTACTCCTCAAGCTTCAAGGTGGAGCTCCATGCCCACCCCCTTCCCGTAAACACTCCATGGGGACAGGGTGCTGGCCTAGGTTGTTCATCGCTGCTGTGGACACGGAGCTCGACCAAGAACGATGAGGAGAGAAGGCAGCCGCTAAGTAGGTGTTGAATGAATGTGGTCCGTGCCCTGGGTCTCTGCACTCAATGTGCTCAACTGTAATGGTGCTCGCCCCACCCCACAAACTTCCTGAGAACAGGGACAGTGTCTGAATGAGAGTGCAGTGCAGGGCACAGAACAAGCTATCAAGATATATTTACTGAACGAACTGTGAATTTTGCATCATCTCCTCACAGGGACACAAAGGGACAGGGCACCAAAGGATCGTTACCCACAGGCCTTGGTGTGGCAGTGAGGGCAGCATCAGAGTAACGCTCGCAGCAGGACCCAAGCACGGGGGCAGACAGGAGGCCCCGCCTTCAAGTCATAGGGACAGACGACACGCTGAAAGTGACAGTGCGCCAGAGGCACATGCAGCACCAGGCAAAGAGCTCTAACCCCAGTTCTGTGGCAGCCTCGGTGCCAGACGTCTGGCAAGTCTCTGCCTCTCTGGGCCAGCGTCCTCAGGTGTATAATGGGATGGCCTCGCCTGGCTTTCATCATTTGTGGCATGAATATACACAGGTGGTCCCATTTAATGAGTGATGTGCCATCGCAAAGGTCTTCCATAATTAAACACTTGTGTAACAGAAGAAAACCGCTGGAAGGAAGCGACAAAGTATGATGGGCATCTGTTTCCCAGGGAAAGGGCGTCACCATATGGCAGTGACATGAATATACGTTACAATTTACCTGGTCAACCAACTGAAAAATGATGGACTTTTTGCAATGAATTCCTTTTTTAAAAATTTGGAGCAATTCACATTTTGACAGATTGTTCACCTTATACCATGATTCCCAAAAAGTGAGTCTTCATTAATGGATTTTATATTTTTTATTAAACCATTTAAAATTAATATAATTCAAGTATGCATAAAATGTAGTCACACTGTATGTACCCACAATCTATCACATGCCAGGTGTTACAGTGAGCACCAGGATATAAGGGAGAGAGAGTCAAAACAGACAGCCCCTACCCCCTGAAACTGACAGTCTGATGGAGGAGGCAGATGGTCTAGTGGAGGAATCACAGGAGAAGAGAAACTACTGAAAAACATCAAGCCACAAATTCAAGACCTATGAACCCCAACAGGATCCATAAAAAGAAATTCACACTTAGACACATCTTAGCGAACTGTGGAAACCAAAACAAGGGAAAATCTCAAAAGCAGCCAGAGGGAAACAAAGGTAAATTACCATCAAAGGAATAAGTATGAGAGAGACAGTGGACTTGTCAACAAAAACAATGAAGTCAGAATACAAGGAAATCATATCAATATGTGGAAGGAAAATAATCAACCTAGAGTTCTACCCTCAGTAAAAACATCCTTCAAGAACAAAGGTGAAATAGACATTTCACCTTTAAACAAAACCAAGGAAACAAAAACCAAGGAGACTCATCACCTGCAGACCTTCATTAAAGGAAATACCATAGCATTCTGTAGCAGAAGGCAATTATCCCAGATAGAAACTAAGAGATACAGAAAGGAATGATGAGCAAAATAAAAAGGTAAATATGTAAGTAAACCTAAAAAATACTGACTGGACAATATAACGTCTTGCGGGGTCTAAAATAGAGTGAATTAAAATGTACAAATATAATGGTACATGGGTTTGCAGAAAGATAAATATAAAATATTCTAAAGTCTTTGGATCGTCCTGGGTGAGGGTAAAAGCAGCAATTAATATTAAATGGTGGTAAGTCATGAATGCACGCTGAAATCCGTAGGGTAATCACTAAAAGAGTCAAGACAGTTACTTCCAAATTAGCAGGGAAAAATCAAATAATAAAAAAAGAATCCAGTAGAAGGTAAGAATGAAAATAAAATACAACGTAGGCAGGACAAACAGAAAGCACTATGGTAGATTTAAACCCAAAACATCAGTTAACTGCACGAAATTTAAGTGGATTAAGTGCCCCCATTAAGGGACAACAGACAACTCACCTCTTCACCACCCAGTTTCCTTGGACTAACATCGCCACCTTCTGGATGCCACGCAGAACAGCCACAGAGTCGATGGAAGGGCCTAGGAGGCTCATCAAGTTGGCAAAAGGCATGACCTTCACTGAAGAGGATGCAGGAGACATCAGACAAGGGGAAAGGGGCCTGGATCCCTCCCTACCCCCCACCAAGTCTGTATAGCTTCAAGCTCACATAACAATCCCAGCATGCGAATAACAATGGTGACATTTGTAGCAGTAACAGCTGACATTCATTGACTGGCTGCTTACTCTGTGCAGGCACCTGCATCTCACTGAATCCCAGAGGAAACACCCACTGAGGAAGACTGAGGAGTGTCTTATGAGGAAGACTCTTACTACTCAGGCCCAGAAAAGTTTTGAAACTCACCCATGATCACTTGGCTAGTTAAGTGGCAGAGCCAGGATTTGAACCCAGGCCTTCTGCGTCCAGAGTCCATGCATTCAACCACTGTTCTCTGCTCACTCCCAACCACCTGAGCCCCCAGCCCAAGTGAGCATGGGCAGGGCCTGGGAAAGGCCCAACGTCCTCTGCAGGAAGGCCAGCAGCCTGGCTCCCTGGCAGCCCCAGTAACAGTAGGGAGCTCCCCTCTCTGCTCAGGCCCTGGGGGACCCTCGAGTTGGCATCTCAGAGGAGAAGCCCGGGGCCTGAGGTTCAAGGCTCAAGCCACTCACCAGCTACAGGCTCCTAAAGGTTCTGGCCCTCAGAGTCTTCTGAGAAAATGAGACCAGTTCCTACCGTGCGGAGCCTGGTGAGGGTGCCACAGTGCAAGTGAACACGCGGTATTATTACAGTGAACGTAGCTCACGTTCACGTGCGAGGCTCTATACAAGCCCTTCAGAAGCCTCATGTCTCTGAACTCTCACCTCAGCCCCCAGGAGCTATGTCCGTCTCTTTTTAGAGATAAACCAATTAAGGCTCAGGAAGGTCAGTGACCCGTCCACGCTGACACAGCAGGAGAGTGGTGAGGGCCACACAGGAACCCCAAGTGTGCCTGAGGGAGCCCGCCGCGACGCTGTAGTGTGTCCTTTCCAGACAAGGGCAGAGCTGTAAAGCTGGGCAGGCTCTGGGTAGCGGGGGCTTCTGGCCTCGCCCCTTACTCCTTAGTCTGTCCCAGACTCTATTTCCCCAGGAGGCGGTAGGGCTGGGGTCTGCAGGGCAGGGGGTAGCCACCCACCGTTCTTCATCAGGATCTTGATCTGATCAGCCAGGGGCAGGGTGCGCAGCTGCGCCATGGACAGGATGTTGCTGGGGGCCACGGGTTTGTCTCTGTTGAAAACAAAGGTGATGGGTTAGAGGAGGCCGGCAGGGGTTAGGGGATGGAGGGTCCAGCCCGCCTCTACTCACTTCTCCTCCTCCTGGCTGGGTGGCATCAGCATCATGAGGTACTCACTGCGGGGGGAGACGGCGGGTCAGCGGCTCCCAGGGCTCTGTCCCTGCCCCACCCCTGCCCATGAACCCAGGCTGCATCCAGGCTGAAGCCTGCCCAGGTGAGGGCTGGGGGAGGGGGAGCAGACAGAGGCCCGGCCCACACAAACTCGCAGAGAAGGGAGGACCATCTCTTCCCACGCCCACCCTCCTGGCCCCCAGCCATGTCCCTCCCCATGCTACAGAAGGGGCCACAGTCCCAAGGGAGGACCCACCCAAGAGGGACCCTCCAGGGGCCAGCGTCAAGCTCAGGAGCCCATAGGATTCAACACCCTGGCCCAGCCGATCTCACCTGGGTGATTTGACAAGTTCTGTGTTCTCGACCCCGCTGCAGCCCTGGCACAGCAGGTACTGGCGCTCGTGCTCAGAGCGGCTGTCCTGTTGGGGGAGAAGCAGTGTGCAGAGGAACCTCAGCTGTCGCCCCAGGCCTGTGCCACCTCGGAGCCCCCTCCGCCATCCACAGTTCTCACCCTGCATCACATTCTACTCCAGCCACCCACTGTCCTGCCCCAAGGCTGGCCAAAGGATCATATCCAACTCAGCCCTGAGCTCAGCACTCAAGGCCTCTGTGACGAGGCCTCAACCCACTACCTTCCTGGCTTTAGGATCGCACAGCCCCAGCACCCACGCCTCGGTGCCTTGTCTGTGATACAGGAACACCAAGAGCAATGATGAAAATAACAGCTAACATTCACTGAGGACCTACCACATGCCAGGCTCTGTTCCAACAGCTGTATACATACATCAACTCATCTCATCCTCAAAATAACTCTACCAAGTTAGGTACTATTATTACTACCCCCCTTTTACAGATAAGGAAACTGAGGCTCAGAGAGGTTAGGTAACTTGCCTAAGGCCACACACTAGGAAACAGCAGAGCTTCTGGAAGTCTCGTTCTGAGTCTAAGGCTCTGTCAACACCATCTCCTTTAGGAATCCTGGTTCCAGAGAAATTAGGAGTTGCTCCTCCCCCAGAAAAATGTTGGGGAGTCCTAGTCTGTGGTGTCTTTGTGAGCTAATATTCAACTACTTCCCTCACTCAATACACAGTTTCAAAGACTGGGTCCGGGCTGGCCCCGTGGCTTAGCAGTTAAGCACACGCGCTCTGCTACTGGCGGCCCGGGGTTCGGATCCCAGGCGCGCACTGACGCACCGCTTCTCCGGCCATGCTGAGGCCGCGTCCCACATACAGCAACTAGAAGGATGTGCAACTATGACATACAACTATCTACTGGGGTTTTGGGGAAAAAAAAAAAAGGAGGAGGATTGGCAATAGATGTTAGCTCAGAGCCGGTCTTCCTCAGCAAAAAGAGGAGGATTAGCATGGACGTTAGCTCAGGGCTGATCTTCCTCACCAAAAAAAAAAAAAAAAAAAAAAACAAAGATTGGGTTCTAAGTCGACACACGAGATGAAACTGCGTATAGTAAAAATCACCCTTGGCAGGTGCACGGTGAACTCGGCCACGTGACAGATGGCCGATTCTCCATGGAGCACCTGATGAAGCGTCTAGCCTTCATTCAGGGCCCGTGGTGCATAAAAATAGGTAACCACACACCAGCCCAGCACGGTGCTCACACTCAGGGAGAGCCCAGGGGGGCTGCAATCCCTGACCAGGGAAACAGACTCACTTCTCAATTTCACGCTCCCTTGGCAGGACACTAAGTGGGATGGCTGGAATGGAGGACAAACTGCCCACAGGACTTACTCCTCTCTCCCTGGGGTATCACCAAGTGGCTATGACTGAATTTGAAACAAGTGAGAGGTGAAACAATGAGGCCACACTGTAACACTTCATGGGCACTGGGCTTTTCTCCCAGGACTCCATCCCGGGGCCAGTGTCAGCTGCCGCTCGGGGACCCCGGCTCACCCTCAGGCCATAGTAATGCAGGTGGACCCAGGGCTCTTCGGCATGCTTCTTCTGCAGGAACTCGTAGGACTGCACACGGCGCTGGCGGGCCTGCTCCGACTCAGGCCGGGAGAACCGTACCTGGGAGGGGGGTCACGACCTCAGGCCTGGCATACTTCCTGGGCTGCCGTCCCAGTGCCCACCAGGAGGCCAAAGAATCCCATATCTGGGGCATTTCCCACTCCCACCTCCCTCTCATTTCCTGACACAGGTCTTTTTAGTTCAGTTCTAAGCATGTCCCTCTCTGTGACCTGCCAGCAGGCCAGGGAGCAGCTTTCTCCTGCTTCTGCCTGCCCAGCACCCAATCCACTTCCACTCCCACTAGTAATAACACCTCCATTTTCATTTGGGAAAGTCCCAGTTCCCTTTCAGTTCAAAGCAGCTAATATCCCTCCCCCAACCCCCACCCACACATGTTCCCAGATATAGGAGTGGGCACGTGACTCAGACCTGGGCAATCCAAGCACCAAATCCTCTTAGGCATAGGGGCTGGCTCAGGGTTGGCCAAGCCAATGAGTCCAGTCTGGGATTTTAGTTAGAAGTAATGAGAAAGAAATTTCTTTTCCCCTGGGGTCTTGGAAGCTAGGAAGATGTGAGCCTGGAGCTGGGACAATTCTCTATACCAGTGGGGACAGACACCCTGCCTGAGAAAGAGGCCAAAAGAGGAAGACAGAACATGGAGATGGAGATGGAGAAACCAGGTCTTGAGGATAGAGCTTGAGCACCTGAATCCAGCCATACTTGAAGCTACCCTTAACTTTTCAGTAACAAGAACCAATACATTCCATTTTTGGCTCGTGCCAGGTAGATCTGGGTTTCTGTTGCTTAGGTGGAGCCTAAGTCCAGGTGGAGCCAAGCTCTGACTCATCTCTCCTATGAAAGGCACCTGCACAGGGGCGTTGCCTGCATTACAGAATCCTGGGTTTCCATATGAGGGTAGGGGGCCCTTTAAAGCACACAGGCCTAAGAATGCCTGATTAAATGAGGGCCAGTGAGTCCTCAAGAAGGGAAGGAGGCATCTAAGGTCATCCAACAAGCTACTGAGAGAACAGGATGAGCACCCACGGCCCCTACATTGCCAATATTATACCAATATTTGCCAATCTCCAACGATGTGCAAACATTCACCACAATTTCAGCCATACTTGTGTACTATCTGCATCATTATTTGTACAGTATTTTTCACCTAAATATGCTTAAATAGGGGAAACTTTATAAACCATAAATGAAAGGTCGATATTCTTTTAAATATCTTTAAAATACAAGAATTAATTATTAACATAGCAACTTTCCACTCGCACACCAGTGAAGAAACAGAATCACATGGTTAATTAACACGAGGTTTTGGCTCCGTTAAGACATGGGCTTCATGGCACAGACTCTGTCTGTGGGTTCCCTGGGCCTCCTGGGCCCTGGCTTCCTCTTCCCAGGCAATTTCAGCCAAGCCCCAGAATCTCATCTCTTATATACACCCAGGGCCGCTATCCTGTCCACAGCTGGGAGAGCTCAGGCCGGGCAGAGGTTAGGTTATCCCTCCAGGTAGCCCAGCAAGAAGGCTCTAAAGCATGGACACTGTTTCTGAATCTCCTTCAGCCCCAGAGCCCACGCTCTGTGCAGACCCTCCCAACCCTTGCTGTCTCCAGGCAGCTGAGCTACAAAGCCAGCCCTGCTGCCTCCCAGGCCGCACTCTCCCTCTTGGGTCCAGAGCTCACCGTGATCTGCTTCACATCTTCTTCTGCTTCGTCCTGTGAAGAGTCTCCTGCTGCAAGAGAAACTAAGCCCTGCTCACAGCCTCTGGCAGAGCCCCCAACTCCCCACTCTCAACCCCACCCACCAGGGAGGCCTCAAGCAGGGGTGTCTGTGAATTCTCCTGCTAGACATAAGTCTCTGCATAAGTCAGTGGGTCTCAACTGGGGATGATTTTACCCCCAGAGGACATCTGGGGATGAATGGAGATACTTTTGATTGTCCAAACTGTGGGGGTGGTACAAGTGGCATCCAGTGGGTAGAGGCCAGGGAGGCTGCTAAGGATCCTATAACCCATCTCTTCAACACTTTTCTCATGACCAACCCATCCTGCCAAGATGCAGACATAAAGCAGGGCTGGGGGTCCAAGGCTCACCCTCATTGGCTGCCTCCCTCTCTCGGTGCTTGGCGTCTGCCTTATCCAGGTAGGAGAAGCTGGGCCGCAGCTGCAGGATGCCATGTAAAGGCGTCAGGTGGAGCTCACCTGGCAGAGGAAGAAGGGCTTGGACCCGACTCTAGGAAGTGGGGCGAATGCCCAGCTTGGCTCAAGGCAGTCACCATGGGCCCTGGACCCCCCTGAAGGCCTCAGCCCACTGCCAAACCACCTCCCACCTCTGCTCTAGCCCCCAATCCTAGAGCCTTGGGACCATCAGGCAGGGAGTCATTCCCAACCCCACGTGACCCTGCAGGACACAGCAGGCACACAACCCAGATCAGGACATGAACCTGAATTCTTCTGCTCAAAGCTACTTCCCTAAGGCTTGCCTGTAAACACTCCACAAGCATGCAAGGCCCTCCACCCCAGGTCCCCACTCCTCTCCCCACAACTGCTTGCTCCAACCACACTGAGAACCCATCCACACCAAACACACCCTGCTCGCTCCTCCGCCAGGCCTTTGCCAGACCACCCTCACTGCCTCCCTAACCCCACACACACCCAGATTTCCTCTCCTTCTCATGCCCCCACCTCTTCCTGTCAAAATCCCACCTGTCCCAATAAGTCTGCTCCTGCAAAAATGGCTGGAGAAGCGGCCCCTGGCGCAGCCAGGTGGACTGTCTATGCAGTCTCTGACAAAGATCATGACTTTGCCTTGTGAATCAAACCCATGGGGCCGGCCCCGTGGCTTAGCGGTTAGGTGCGCGCGCTCCGCTGCTGGCAGCCCAGGTTCGGATCCCGGGCGCGCACTGACGCACCGCTTCTCCGGCCATGCTGAGGCCGCGTCCCACATACAGCAACTAGAAGGATGTGCAGCTATGACATACAACTATCTACTGGGGCTTTGGGGGAAAAAATAAAATAAATAAAATTATGAATCAAACCCATGCACCGGGAGGCAATGCAAAGACAATCAATTTCAATCAAGTCAATGTAGGCTTGAAAGAGAAGAAACCAGATGCTAAGGCTCTGTGGAAACGGCTCTGTGAAAGCTCTCTGGACTCCAGAGGGAACAAATGCTCGAGATAAGGAGTAAATAAATGAATGATCTGGCTGCAAGGAACGCAGCTTTAAAGAACTACATCCTTGGCGCCGGCCCTGTGGCCTAGTGGTTAAGTTCAGCGTGCTGTGCTTCGGCCACCCAGGTTCGGTTCCCGGGCGTGGACCTACACCACTCGTTGGCAACCATGCTGTGTCAGCAACCCACATACAAAATAGAGGAAGATTATTCGACACTACTTTTGATTCTATTCTGTTTCCTATGCATTCAAATTAGTTTCGTTTATTCCTCTATAAACTCTAAATACTTACAGTACCTTGTGCTTTTTAACAGCTTTATTGAGATATAATTCACGCCATATAATTCACCCATTTAAAGCATACAATTCAATGTATTGTAATATATTCACAGAGTTGTACAACTAGCACTGCAATCAATTTAAGAACATTTGTATCACCCCAAAAAGAAACCCTGTACCCATCAACAGTCACTCCCCATTCCACTCTCCTCCCCTGGTGACCACTAATCTACTTTCTGTCTCTATGGATTTGCCTATTCTGAACATTTTATATGAGTGGAATCATACAACTTGGGGTCCTTTGTGTCTGGCTTCTTTCAGTTAGCTTACTGCTTGCGAGGCTCATCCATGTTGGAGCATGTATCAGTACTTCATTCCTTTACACGGCCAAACACCATTCCATTGCATGGCTATACCACATTTTGTTATCCACACATCAGCTGATGGATGTTTGGATCATTTCCAATTTTTCACTATCATGAATAAGGCTGCTATGAACACCCATGTAAAAATTTTGGTGTAAACATAAGTTTTCATTTCTCTTGGGTAGATATGCTGTCTAGGAATGGAATTACTGGGTAATGAGTACCTTGAATTTAAAACAAAATTCTACACCTGTCTCAGAAGTTATGCTTTGTGTCTGTGTCCCAGGAGGACAATGACCTTGGAGCCCCATTCCTACCAAGTCAGACAGTGTCTAGCCAGAAGTCCCTGAAGATGGCCAATTCCAGGCCCCTGACAATCTGTTATTTCCACAACCTGCCTGGCCCCTGCAGGTGTCTAGCGCTCAGGGAGGACAGGGCTGGACACCAGGTTAGGGAAGGCCTCCCCCTGTCCCAGCCCCTATCCTGCTTCTCTCCCACCCGATCAGCCTGCACAAGCCACGGCACCCAGGACGCCCATCCGCGGGTACCTTGCCTGTAGAGTGCAGCGGCGTAACGGGATGTGTTACTGGTGGTCTGGGAGGAGACGAACGTCTGCTTGTCCATCAGCTTCCTGGGAGCACAGGGAGAACAGATGTCAAGGGGAAGGAAGCTCCAGACCCAAGACCTGGCAGGCCCAGCCCCCTCTACCCCAGACACCTTCTGAAATCCAACAGCCAGCGACCACGGCCACAGGACAGGCTACGTGTGCCTCAGGAGGGGAACTGGGCATGAGACAACCCAAGGCCTGTCTGTGGCTCAAGAGACAGGCAGTGGGTCGGAGCTCCCACTCCCAACAAGGGGCCATCATCACAGGAGGGAAGACTTCTCCCATAGGGAAGGGTCTGAGCTGGGCCCAGCCATGCAAAGGCGGGACACTGGTCCAGCAATGGGGCACAAGGGCCTAGATGTCTTAAAGCCTTTGGAAGGCTCATATTTGAACACGGTGAAGCTTGGAGGCCTTGGGGCCTGGGGAACTTACGAGGAATACGTGCTGGTCTCGTCGGCACAGGCGCCATCCACGTTCAGCGCAATCTGCTCCCCTTTGCTGCGGCAATAGTTGGGATTCAGGGTGTCGATGGCCATCTCAAGCTCTACCTGGAGGCACCAAGCACCCCCACCACCTGTAAGGATGCTGAGGCACAGTCCCCAGGGGATGCCACTTCCTAACCCCAGTCCCTGCCAATCCCGGCCCTGCTCAGAAGCAGGACCGACACGTGACCCTCCCCAAGGGCCTCCAGGCTTCAGTCTACACCAAAGGTTGCAAAACCAAATTCCAAGAGAAAAGGCCAGAGGGCTTTGTTAGGGGCGGTCCATGTATTTTTGTCTGTCCCCCTACTCTACTCCCAAAGCTCTATATCTGGATTTAAAAAATCAAGAGATTTCTTGGGGCTGGCAGGGTGGCATAGTGGTTAAATTCACATGCTCCACTTCAGCAGCCTGGGGTTCGCAGGCTCAGATCCCGGGCACAGACCTACGCACCGCTTATCAAGCCATGCTGTGGCAGGCATCCCACATACAAAGTAGAGGAAGATAGGGGCCGGCCCGGTGGCGCAGGCGGTTGGGTGCGCACGTTCCGCTGCAGCGGCCCGGGGTTCGCCGGTTCGGATCCCGGGTGCGCACCGACGCACCGCTTGTTAGGCCATGCTGTGGCGGCGTCCCATATAAAGTAGAGGAAGATGGGCATG